AGGGGGGAAGGGGAGTGGTGGGGAACAAGTCTGGAGCCTATCCTTTAACTTCTTGCCGACCAGCCACTGTAGAAATACGGTGGCAGGTCGGCACGGCTGAGCAAAACCACGTTTTAAAACGTGCTTTTGCAAAAAAGGTAGGAGGTGCGCCCCCGCCCTACCTGCACCGCTGATCCTGGCCGAGGGTGTCAGTCGCCGGGTCACGGCCGGTCATTACCAGCAGTGTCCCGCCGAATAGCGGCAATCACTGACAGAGAGCAGGGCTGCAGTAGCTCTGCTTTCTGTCAGTTCCCTGACAGCTCCTGACACGCTGATCCCGAGAGAAGAGTTTTCTCTCTCCCGATCAGCGTGTCCCTGTGCAGTACACACCCCCGCCCCCTAGTAAAACACTCCTCACACAGTTAACCCTTTCAGTGAATAAAAAAGTTAACCCCTTCCTCCCCAGTGCCATTAGTACAGTGTCAGTGTTTTGTTTTTTTTTTTTGCACTGATCACTGTATTGGTGTCACTGGGGATGTCAGTGACCCCAAGTCAGTTACCCCCCAGTGTCAGAATGTGCGCCGCAGTCCTGCCATAAGTCGCTGATCATCACCATAAGTCACTGATTGCCGCCGTAAGTCGCTGATCGCCGCCATTATTAGTATAAAAAAAAATAAAAAAAATCCGAGTATCTTTCCTGACATTTGTAAACGCTATAACTTTCATGTAAACCAATTAATTTACATGCATTGAGGGTTTTTTTTTTTTTTAGCAAAGACATGTCGCAGAATGCATTTTGGCTGAAATTTATGACGAAATGTGATTTTTAATTTTTATTTACTGGACATGTTTTAAAGCAAAAAGTCCAAAATATAGTTTTTTTTTCTCAAAATTGTCAGCCTTTTTTTTTTATAGCGCAAAAAATAAAAAAAACGCACAGGCGCTCAAATACCACTGAAAGAAAGCTCTATTTGTGTGCAAAAAAAGTACATAAATTTCATTTATGTACCGTACAATTGTCCGTTAAACTAGCGCAGCGCTGTATAACAAACAAAATGGCGTAAATTGCAGTATCTATACCATAGTTTGTAGACGCTATAACTTTCACAAAAAGCAACCAATATACACTTATTGGGATTTTTTTTTTACCAAAAACATGTAGCAGAATACATTTTGGCCTAAATTTATAACTAACTTTGAGTTTACTATATATTTTTTTTATAGCTGAAAGTAAAAAATATCGTTTTTCTTCCAAATTTTTCGTCTTTTTTTGTTTATAGCGTGAAAAATAAAAAGCGCACAGGTGATCAAATACCACCGAAAGAAAGCTCTATTTGTGTGAAAAAAAGGACGTAAATTTTGTTTGGGTGCAACATTGCATGACCGCGCAATTATCAGTTGAATTAGTGCAACGCAGAGTAGCAAAAAGAGGCCTGGTCATTAAGCGGGGTAAATCCTCAGGAGGGCAAGTGGTTAAGACCCATATCAGTGTTTTTTTCTTTTTGTTGTCTGTGACCCATTGAGGAGAATTCTCTTCACTTCCAGACACAGCAGTGTGTAAAAGGTGCTCTCTCCAAAAGCAAGTGGAATTCACCTCTTAGACAGCTGTCACAGAAGAGGTATTTCCATTTGAATATTGGGATTATGGATTTCCCATAATTTCTTTTTAATCAGAGACAATGCCTACCAAGGCAAACAGGGAGGGAAAATTTTCCCAATAGAAACATAAATCACTGGTATGGTTAAAACCCTTCCTTATGCTATCCAGCCTGGGCTCATATTTAAAGAGCATCTCCACTTTTGTTGAGAAAAAAAACAAAACAAAATTCCCTTCTGGGTGATTTATGTACTTTGCAAAGATTTTAACAAACTTTGTTGTAGATTCCAACCTTTGTTTCTCTGAAGGAAAAGCTGTGTTTGTGTCAACGTGCACAGTGAATGTGAATAGGAGTGATTTTTTTTCATTATTGATCAGCCATGCTCTCGCAGAGTTCTAATGAGGAAAGTTGCAGGGTCTGAATCCCTATAGTTGTGATTAACCCTTTGGAAGTAACTCACCGAAAATGAAATATTTGCTGCAGAGGATGCCTAAAACCTGACATATCTTAGAACACTTCTGGGAAAATCAGTGAGCCATGCACAAGCAAGAAATGACATTTATAGGGGGCGTTCCTTAACCCCCAGCCGCCCCCCCCCCCCACATGTAGGAAACACCTCCAGGTCACCATATTGCAATGAATATTAGAGAAACTTACAGCATGCAGATTGCAAAGGAAAAGAACATTTTAAATAACATTCAATTACAATATGACTTGTGTACTAGTTGTATACATACAGTATTATTTTTCTTTAGCTAGTGCCCCCACCCCACACAAAAATTGAGTTACCCTTGGAGTCTACTGGGATATTTAGACTGGTTTAAAACACATTCTTTAGGAGTCTTCTCCCAGCTCCCAACATGCACTCAGTGAAAATGCCTTCTAGTTTTCCCATGCAATGAGCGAATAAGGATCTCAATATAAGGTTGAAACAATTTAACCTCCCTGGCGGTATGATTATGTCAGGAATTTTGTACCAAAAGCGGTACCATTTTTTTGCATGGAAATTTGGTGTTATGTATTGTAGGCCTGCAATTCTTAGTAATTACTTACTTAAACCTGAGCAAAGAAGACTCTAGTAGACAACCCGGATGTGATAAAGTATGAAACACAAAATCATGAATTATAAACTAATAAATAATATAATTTTATTCAATAATGTAATAAAAAATAATGAAATTTGTCAAACAAAAAAAAATTCAGTAAACATCCTGAGTGTGATAAATTTTGAAACATGGCACTGCACACAATCCGACGTCACAGTCAGGGCAATGGAATCTGGTTTATTTTCGAACTTTCTTTCCATTGCCATCTCTCCTTGAGCAGCACACCACACACATCCTGGTAGGTGCTGCCTTTTTTGTGGTTGGCGGGATGTAGTCCATGAAATGGCGACCAGTCAGGCGTTCTGGATTGACAACAGCACGACGTCCAGATCTGTTCATGGCTACTGATGGCGTTTGGTAGTTGATAAAAATCTGCTCAGCCACCTTCCAGATAAACTCAGAATGAATAAGAGGCTTGTCACTCTTTGCTCTGTGAAGGATGTACGAGTTCCAAAGGCATTGTTCAAGAAGATGCCTGAATATCTTCTTATAATATTTTTTTTTGTTGTTTGCGCATAGCCGGATAAAATGTCATTGCCTGATCGGCTCTGTCCACACCTCCCATGGTGTTATTATAGTCTATCACAAGTTGCGGCTTCAGCACATCTTTCCCACCTCTTGTGTGGGCCATGCCAGTGGACAAATTATGCACAGTGCTCATGAGACACACGTCCTTCTTGTCTCGCCATCGCATTGCCATCATCTTACCCTTTTGCCAGGCAACCATTTCTCCGGTTTTGAGTTGTTTCTGGGCAAACGTAGATGGCATGCCACGTCGATTAGACTTGACTGTACCATAAGCATCGGTCTTGTTTTTTATCAAAACCTCATACAGTTCCGGAGACGTGTAAAAGTTGTCCGTGGTCACACAATATCCCTGGTTCAGCAACGGCTCCAGCAGTGTAAGGACAGATGATGTGGCCATCCCATAGTCGCTGTACCTGGGGTTGAACTGCGTGCCTTTACCAGTGTAAATGACCGAATTCCAAATGTACCCGGTAGATGACTCGCAGAGCATGTAGAATTTGATGCCAAACCGCGCTCTTTTGGACGCTATGTACTGGATCCAGCTTAGGCGACCCTTGTAGGCCATCAAGCTTTCATCCACACTGACGTCCCTATCTGGCACGTAGGTCCGCTGGAAATTGAACACAATATTTTGGTACACCTCCCAGATTTTTTTAAGTTTGGGCTGAGGATGCGTGGCCTCATCAAATTCCTCATTGTTAGTGAAGTGTAAATACTTCATGATGAGGGAAAACCGATATTCGGACATAACGGTGCCAAAAACCGGAGTGGCCAGTAATTTATTGGTGGTCCAGTAATTTATTGGTGGTCCAGTACCATTTCTGGAGCGGTTTTTCCTATCACGCCCTGCAGAATGATGAGTCCCAGAAATTTCCAGATGTCCTCTCTGCTCACCGGATCCCACTTTTGGTTTCTGGAAAACCTGGCTTGCAGTGTAGCGGGTTGCTGCTCTTGGTAGCGGTTGGTCTCCGTGACAATTTTTTCAATTATCTCCTCAGTGAGGAATAATTGCAGGTAGGCCAGAGGGTTGTTACGCTCAACATCTACCTTCATCCCAGGTGATCCAATAAATGGGAATCTTGGGGGCGCTACATGGTCCGTATCGCAGGCAATAGGGCACCAAGTGCGCACATTGCTGAGGTCAGGAGCAGGATCATCGCCGCTGTCACTTGCCAGATCGGTGTCAGTGTCAGACGACAAATCTCCCCACGACTCCACGTCGCTGTTGATGTCACTCAGTTGGTCTAAAAGTGCTTTGGACCTAAATGGGGGCATTTTTGATGCCATGTTTTATTTTTATGGGCACAAATGCCAGTAAAATGTCAGATCTGAGGTGATCTGAGGTGATATATTGTAATCCTCTCAGATTACAATGTATCATCTCTTTTATATGTATGTGTGTGTGTGTGTGTGTGTGTGTGTGTGTGTGTCACTTTAAATTTTAATATTCCCTCCCAGTTCCACTCTCCTGCACTGCGGCTGCTCGCAGAGAGAGGAACCAGGAAGTCAGATGCCGGGCAACGTTCTCACCGGCGATCACAGCGGGGAATCGCGGGGAGAAGGTAGGGGAAGTCCGCTGTATCCTCTGCACTTTACCCCGAGCGTGACTCGGGGTTACCGCTCCTGGACATGAAAATTAACCCCGAGTCACGCTCGGGAACACCGCCAAGGAGGTTAAGAACAGGCCAGAATGCATCCTATCTGAAATGCTCATAATATCTGGAAGCTGTGCAGATGTTATTTTATTTAGTAAATCCCTACTTTTTTTTTTTTTTTGTAAAAGTCTTACTTGACTGAAGTTTCTCCACACATGGTGTGCCGTCTTCATTTTTTAGCTGTACGCGCACTCTACCCCTGTACTGTACATCCCGGTTCCACTCACGTGTGTACATCTTGTCTGCCTGTATGCAGAAACACGTTTAGAATGGTTGGGGGATTTGCAGGACAAAACAAGTTATACTGATAATAAAATACGTCACCTCTACAATGGCATTTAGCTTGTTTGCACGACATACATCTGCAATTTCAGTACATGTTGGATTCTGCACAGCCTGAATAAAAAGCATGAAAAAAAAGATGAAGATAATGAAGATAGTCAGTAATGTGTACCTGTATGATGCAAAATATGTCAGGAGGGTGGCAAAAGGGCTAAAAATGATCCCACAGTCAAATGAATACCTTGAATCTGCTGCTGCCTCATCCATTATTTCCTCCTGGTCACTGGAACCAACCTCCCAAGACACCACCCCTAACTAGCCCCATGATGTATATTGTAGGTTGAATTTAGTAATTTTTAGCTTTTTTTCACAATTTTTACAGATTTGTTTATCAATGTTTCTCATATTTGTTACTTTAATTTTTTTATTCCCATCTTTATGGCCACCAAAACACATTGGCTGCCTTTTCTTTTCTTGCTGGTTAAATTAAATACTTTGAATTCCACCCCCCCCCCCCCCAAGATATTTGTTTGGTCCTCTTATTGACTTAATTACACAAAGCCCTTTTATCCCTTTTATGTGGCATTGCATATCAACACTTGACTTGAACTCTGATGGCAGGCAGATACATCACAAACCTGTGACACAAACCGCATATCTGCAATTGCCTGGCACTATTTGAATTAAGAGGCAACCACAGGTCTACCTGGGAGGACGATTTCTCTCCACAAGTACCAGGGGGAATCTTGGTGGCATTCTAATGTGAGTACAATAGAAGTGGATGCAAACTTCTTGGCGATGCGTCAATGTAAGCACAGAGATTCACTTTATGAGAATTCCAACTTCAAGAAAAGAAGTGAAAAACTTTTTCCCAGTGATGAAGAACCCTAACAAACTGACCAGGTACAACTCTGAGACCAACACAATATTTAGAGCGGTCATCCTGAAAAAAAAAAAAAAAAAAAAAAAAAAAGCAGTTTGTTGATTTCTATATACAGGTCATTTTAACTAACCCTTTCAATTGGTATCCTCCTTCCCTCTGCAATTGTCTTCTTGTTATTGATGTAAGCTGGATAAATGCAGATAAACCTGTAATGTATATATATATAAAAAAAAAACAATATAAGCAGAACCTTTAAAGTATAATACCTAAAAGACCACATTCTCCTAAGTACTTATGATAGAAACAATCACCCAGGTGTCTTGTTGTACAGCTCACATATATCTTAACATCTACCCAGAATGGATATGCTCGCTATACAAAGCCTTGGTGACAAATTTGTTAAATGTCATCAAGATTCATTTAAGCTACATTTACACGGCTGCTGGCAATTAGAGCCTCCAACCGACCCTGGACACAGTCGGTGTGCATCCTGGTTCAGGGTTTCTGCAAACACACAAATTGGCCACAGTGAATTGCCCAGTTTGTATGTGGCATTCAGCCCCCTCTGAACACAGCAAACTATACATGTGAATGTAGCATAATTTCCATCATTCAGATTAAAGTGCAACTCCAACCACAAGTTTTTTGTTTGTATTTTTTTCTGAATCCAGTAAGAGTTAGACTCTTTGTAAGGTTTGGAATGCTGTTGGTGTCGCCATTGTTTGAGAGCATTCCTCTTATTTGCTGTCCTGGTGACCAAAGTGAGGGGGAGTTCTTTGATGGAGACAATAACAACATTTTAGCATGGTGGGAAAGTTACAAAAAAAGTCAGATTTTTATTAGTGTTTCTGGCCCTGTTGGCAAGATTTCCTTTAGCTAATTGTTTAGTTACTGAAAGGTAAAGAGGGAAATCTGTCCATTGAAAGCAAGAAAAACCTGACAGCAGCTCTAAGCCTTTAAATTTTACTAGGAAAAAAAACAAAGAGTTGTGTTTGGAGTTCTATGTTTGTTTTTTTCCAGAATATTTTACATCCAGAAGATACAGCTCACAATTTTTATGCATGAATGAGAGTTCTATCATCCACACAGGTGCATCTCAATAATTTAGAACAGGGGTCTTGAATTAAAATTTACGGAGGTCCAGTCAGCAAACCTTTCTTCCAGCAGAGGTCCGAATCTCGTTAGCGATATAACACATCACAGTCCCCTACATTATGATCTTTAGCGTAGTCCCCTCTACATCACAGTCCCCTCTTTAAAGAAGTCCCACAGTGTCCTCTTTTTCCCTTCACATCACTGCCCCGCTTTACATCACAGCGACCCCTAACACAACACAGTGCCCCTTTACACAACACAGCAAATTTATAGCAAAGACAGGATGTCTCTTTGCTGGACGGGGATGTCCCCTCTTGGACTGGGCTGTTTTTTTGTTGGATTGGGATGTCTCTTTGCTGGACCCAACTGGGCAAAGAGACAGCCCCATCCACCGTCGCTACAGAGCTGTCACTGTGTGCCGGCGGGTGAAGAAGAGAGGCTGCCATTGTCCCTTCAGTGCAGCTTGTATCTGGAGCCGTCACTGCCACTCCTCTCTTATCGGCCCTGCTTTAGGTATAGATGAACAGAGGTGAGCGACGGCTGTGGTCTGTATTAGCCCAGTCCAGACCGCGGTCGCCGCTTACCTCCCGCTGTGCGACCTGGCCATCTTAAGCCCGGCGACCCAGTGTGCCCTATGGCCAGTCTGGGCCTGAGGGAGGGCACCCGGCAGTGGCGTGGCTGCGGTCTGGACGGGACTGTCCCTTTGTCCGGTTCCGGACCGCCATTTAGTGACCACGGATTTAGAATATCATCAAAAAAATAATTTCAGTAATTCAATTCAAAAAGTGAAACTCATATTATATAGATTCATTACACACACACTGATATATTTTAAACAGTTCTTTCTTTTAATTTTGACGATTATGGCTTACAGCTAGCGAAAACCCAAAATTCAGTATATCAGAAAATTAGAATATTGTAAAAAAGGTCAATATTGTAGACTCATGGTGACACACTCTAATCAGCTAAATTACCTCAAAACATTTGTAAAAGGTTTCTGAGCCCTTAAATGCTCTCTCAGTCTAGTTCAGTAGGTTACACAATCATGGGGAAGATTGCTAACTTGACAGTTGTCCAAAAGACACCCTACACAAGGAGAGTAAGGCACAAAAGGGCATTGCTAAAGAAGCTGCCTGTTCACAGAGTGCTGTATCCAAGCATATTAATAGAAAGTTGAGCAGAAGGAAAAAGTGTGGTAGAAAAAAGGTGCACAAGCAGCAGGGATAACCGCAGCCTTGAGAGGATTGTGAAGCATAGACCATTCAAGAATTTGGGGGAGATTCACCAGGAGTGGACTACGGCTGGTGTCAGTGCTTCAAGAGCCACCACACACAGAAGTATCCAGGACATGGACTACAACTGTCGCATTCCTTGTGTCAAGCCACTCCTGAACCAGAGACAACGTCAGAAGCGTCTTACCTGGGCTAAGAAGAAAAAGGACTGGACTGTCTCTCAGTGGTCCAAAGTAAATTTTGCATTTCATTTGGAAAGTAAGGTCTCAGAGTCTGGAGGAAGAGTGGGGAGGCACAGAACCCAAGTTGCCTGAGGTCCAGTGTGAAGTTTCCACAGTCAGTGATGATTTAGGGAGCCATGTCATCTGCTGGTGTTGGTCCACTGTGCTTTATCAAGTCCAAACTCAGCGCAGCCCTCTACCAGGAAAATTCTAGAGCACTTCATGCTTCCCTCTGCTGACCAGCTTTATGGAGATGCCAATTTCACTTTCCAGCAGGACTTGGCACCTGCCTGCACTGCCAAAGGTACCAATACCTGGTTTAATGAGCATAGTATCACTGTGCTTGATTGACCAGCAAACTCGCCTGACCTAAACTTCATAGAGAATCTGTAGGGTATTGTGAAGAGGAAATTGAGAGACACCAGACCCAATAATAAAGATGAGCTGAAGGCCACTATCAAAGCAACCTGGGCTTCCATAATACCTCAGCAGTGCCACAGGCTGATTGCCTCCAAGCCATGCTGCATTGATGCAGTATCATGCAAAAGTAGCCCCGACCAAGTATTGAGCGCATACTAGAATACAGAAATGTTGGCTTCAGTAAGCAAACATTTCTGTATTAAAAATAATTTTTTGTTTTATTGGTCTTATGTAATATTCTAATTTTCTGAGATACTGAATTTTGGGTTTTCACTAGCTGGAAGCCATAATCAAAATTAAAAATAAAATGCTTGAAATATATCACTCTGTGTGTAATGAATCTATATAATATAGGAGTTTCACTTTCTGAAATGAATTACTGAAATAAATTAACTTTTTGATGATATTCTAATTTATTGAAATGCACCTGTATTTATCAATGAAGCCCCTATCCAGACAAAGCATGGGCGACTTCAAATAACAACAGTTAGAAAATGTACTCCCCGAGTGCTCCCTGTTATGTCAATGTCTACTCTGTGGTTTCCTCTTTGTGTGCAAGTGGCAACTCCAATAATCTGCAGAGTTGAAGTAGAGAGATTTTATTGGTGAAAATAATATCTTGCTGCTGAGAAAATGCAAAAAAGGGGAACAAGGTCTGCAGCTCATCTGAAGTCCTGAGCGTACCAAAATCCACCAAAATGTAGGTATCTGGGTCAAATCCCTGTCAATTTATACCTAGCTATAAAAAAAAATATCTGCAAATTCCAAACTGTCAAAGCTGCCCCTTTTTACCAAACAAGATATTCTGATGGAAGAACTAGCATTCACCAGGTATCCTCTACTTGCTTAAAAGCAAAAAATTACCTACTGTATAAATTCGTTCTCCAGATTTAGTTTGCTTAATTCGTTTTCATGAGCATATATTTTCACAGTGTATTTTCTAATACTTGTATTAGAAATGACACATACGACCAAAAATATGTCAACAATGAAATATCAAACAGGCAAGATAAGAAGAACAGTTGGGGCTCAGGTACACAAGCTGTTCTCTGTGTCTGGGATGATTTTCTTCTCTACACAAGTCAACTGTAATGGAAAAAAAACTCAGAAGTAACCCCCCTAACAACAAGCTACATGACTTGCTTATAATGTATCCAATGAAAGCTTTTGAGTTTAATGCCTGTGTACATAAGTTCTTAGAACTCATTCAGATGGGAGCTAGACTGCAGCATTCAGATGTGGCTTAACTCTGACTTAGATGGAGCAGCACTCCAATGCACATATTTTAAATTTATTGATTAGGTGTTTCCAATTTGAGTGCAGACAAAATTACAGTCCCTGGATACAAACTATGTCCAGGGCCAGCCAGAGCCCTCATCTGAGTGTTTATGTGTGCACATTAGTGACACTATTTATTTTTTGTACAGGTGATAAATCTAGCCAAGCTGCTTGCTCTTCATACATGGGGGTGTCACGGATAATGCACACCCACAGTGACTAGCTTACCAGGGCATGGTCCCTAACTTGGGTAAAGAGGGAATGAGGGGGACTTACATTGAACCATAAAGACCAGCCATGATATACTTTCACAGCCCCCACTACCTCTGGCCACCACTGGAGGGAGACTTTACTCCAATTCAGCTGGCTGACCACACACACAGGCAGATATGAGTCTTATATACAATCTGGTGCACTCTATGGGTTTGGGAGCAGTCTAGCAATTAGCGCACCCTTCTAGGATTCATCCAGCTATCCTAAAAGTTAGACCCCCGGGGTTAGGCACTCTTGCACTGTCCACATACACCTCCACACCAGACACACAACGGTAGCATGCCACCTCCTAACAGTTTGTCCACAGACTGCGGGTCTGCTGGGTCACACTCTCACTGATCTACTACTTTACAATCTACCAACATGCAATGCAATTGCATACAGACTGGTAATTAACTTAGACTGAGTGAGCAGACACTACAAAACAATCTCTCCAGGGATACGAGCCCTAGTTTAGTACACAGAAGTCACTTATTTTAAAATTTAATATCCCAAAAGTGGGCAGTGCATGAAATATCTACAAAGAAAAAAGAATTACAAAAAATACAAGAAAGACAGACATACACAATTGGCTATTCACTGTGAAATACAAAAGGGAATAAAAACAGAAATAAAACTTTTACCAAGATTTATCCTGCGACTGGAGCAGATCGAAGGAAAGTCTGCGATTCGCCAGTCAATGGAACTAGCTCCATACGAATCACCCCATCCATATCCCATGCTCCTCAATTTATTGGAATATGGATGTGGGCTGGACTTTAGCCTTTGTCCAATTAACCCTGGGGGATGTTCCTGTTCAAGCCCATAGACGTGTTCTGAAGTGCCCAATCTCAAATGGGGCAGGAACGGTTCAGATCACTGGGTCAGGGATAGGATTTCCGAAACCAGCAGATCAATCCAATCTCGACAGTACCAATCACTGTTCAGCTGTCGCAAACAGGCACCATATAACCATTTTGTGTGTTTCTCTGGGATTCTACATAAGCTACAAATACAGATTTACATGTAGCCTAAAATGTGTCCAAACAGAAGAAATCATTTTCGTCTCTCTGCAACTAATAATTTAGCTTTTATAAAGAGATGAAATAGATTCCTCTGACTGTTGGTATAAATCAAAGCTGGCAGACATTTCGGAGCCTTCTCCCTGTCTCCTGCTGCTGATTCGTGTAGCCAAAATGGCTAGGATTCTTCTTTTAGGTTCAAGAAGGTGGCAATCTCTGGCTACATAGATGAGAAAGTTTTATTGCCATCTAGGCGTCAAACGTAGCCTAGAAGTTTGCTCTGTCCTTTCAAATACTAATTGAAAACATATGTCTCTGACTGATTAAGGAATACTATATCTCTAATAACACAGAATTAAACTATATCTACTATTGAGTTACTTCTACAGATAACATCATATCTCAGCTACTGATAAAATGATTCTACTCTTACATTTATGTTACAGGGGGTAGTATCTACACCAACAAGAAATCGCAGCTGCTCACTATCAGCTACACATGTGAACAGGTCCTAAAACACTTTCGGCCCTCTTTACCACTGGATGTGTGAAGCAGATTTTTTTCGGAGCTGCCCATAAAAATATAAGTTTAGAATCCAGTTTCCTGCCCTTTGGTCACCTGGATGGGTCTGTATAAAGTTTCTTCAGGTCTGCCATGGTTCGGTCTCCTCAGTGTTGCATATTAATATTTAATAACCTGTGGAAGTAAAAGAAAAGACAATGAAATATCAGAAACCTGCTGTGAGCAAAAAACAATGAAAGAATAATAAACTGCAGAACTTTTATTCTAAAATTGCCATTCATTTTCAGTCTCCTCTCAATGGAACTGATTCACAGCAGTGAAATCTCCAGCCATCAATAGAATGGAGGACCAGGACTGCACACTTATGTGACATGTTTCCATCTCTTTCACATCCTTAACATCTAATAGTTCTCATTCACAAATGTGCGTTCAGTTTATCTAAAAACTTTTTTTTTTGTCCTGTTTTAAGAACTTAACCTACCAAAGGTTTTACCCCCTTCATAACCAGGGAATTTCTTACTATTCAGCACTGCACTACTTTAACTGGCAACTGCTCCGTCATGCAACACAGTACGCAAATGAAATGTATATTTTTTCGCACAAATAGAGCTTTCTTTTGGTGGTATTTAATCACTACTGTTTTTTTTTTTACTTTCTGACAGTCTGAGCATTTACAGGGTGCTGTGACTGGCCCAGGTACCATGTGATAGCTGTGGGCCAATGTCAGCCGTACAATAGTAAGCAAGCTGTCATGAGTGGAAGCCATTGATGACAGTTTTGCTTGCATGTTATCATGTGATTACTTGATCACTATGGTTGAGCATAGCGATTACATGATACCCTGGCCACTCACTGCGACTTTCACAGTGATACACACAAACCACTTTGGTTGGATGTTAAGGAATCTTACAAGTACTTGTGTATACTTCACTACATGGGGTGCACAGAGTACATATAGGGGAACATTAGTGATTTTGGCAATGCTAATGCCTATAGTATCTCCAACATCTCTCGTCACTTTAAAGACACACATGGTGGAAATGAGATCTTTTTATTTTCCATGGGATAGAATAGGTTGCTCCCCTACCTCAGGGAAAAGAGTAAATGGGGTGTACAAACCGATATCAAAGACTTCTTCAGCATAAGGCTTGCTGGATTTATTCCCTGGGAACCAGGATTCTCCAGGTTTTCAACCACCGACTGGATGAGAATTATGTTTTTTAAAATGAGTCAGACGTCTATCACACTGATAATTTATTTTTTGTTCCCTTTTTTCTGGATACTGCAAATTCGGCCTTTGCAGGGGCTATATTCAATTAATCTGTTTGATTTGTGTTTAACTGCTTTTTCTTATTTCTGTTTCATATTTTGATTCTTTAATTCTACAGTAGTGTTTCTGTAAAACAATTCTTTACTTGTGTACATTTAGGACCCATTAACATTGGATACACAGACACCTGTCCATTAAAGCAGTAGTAAACTGCTGTAAAATATACAGAAAAAAAAAAAATATTATATATATATATATATATATATATATATATATATATATATATTATACAGGATTTATATAGCCCCAATAGTTTGCTCGGCGCTTTACAATATAAAGGGAGACAATACAGCAACAATACAGTTCAATACAGGAGGGATAGGAGGGCCCTGCTTCTTGGAGCTTACAATCTAGGAGGGAGGGGATATACACACACACACACACACACACACACACACACACACACACACAACACACACAGCTTGACAATTTTACTTTGAATCTAGGAGCCAGCAAAAAGAGTTAGGAACCAGGTGGAGGGGCAGCGTGACAGGTGGAGGGGCAGTGGGACAGGAGGGGGGCAACAGGATGAGGGGGGCAGCAGAACAGGAGGGGGGCAGCAGGATGAGGGGGGCAGCAGAACAGGAGGGGGGCAGCAGGACAGAAGGCAGCGGGAGGGGGGATTGAGGGGCAGCAAGACTGGGGGCAAGGGGGACAGGAGAGGGAATTGCCAATGGGACAGGAGGGGGGCCTCACAGGAAGCGGCCGCAGCATCACAGGAGGGGACCTCACAGGAAGCGGCCACATCACGGGGGGGGGGGGGGGGGGGGGGGGGGGGGGGTTGGGGTGCAGCGGGATAGGTGAGGGGCAGAGTCACAGGAGAGCAATTGGACAGGTGGGAAGAAGCGTTACAGGAGGGGGGCAGCGTCACAGGTGTCACCTGTCCAGCAGTGGCTCCTCCAGATGTCCGCTTGGTTGTTGTAGTCGGCTGTCAGCGCTGTGCTGGAGACGGGGCTGTTTGCTATCACACAGGTGGCAAGACACAGTAGCCCTGGTGACTCCGGTCCTCTGGTAGAGAGGCGGTTGGTGCGGGAAGCCGCGTCCTTCGCTTCATGAACTCAGGGGGGCGGGGGCCTGCGGTGTTCTCCAGGGGGCTGGCTTTCATGGAGCTGTGCAGCTCTGTGTTCCCGCCTGGACTCTGTGCACGGGAGAGATGGGGGAGACTTCGGGGGGTCTCAGAATACTGAGTTCTACTCTGTGAGGTGGGGGATAGGTGCCAGCTGAGGAGATTGGGTGGGGGACAACAGAGCAGTGTGGGCTGACGGGGCCCACGGTTTCTGGTTGCCATGGCAACCTGGCGCCTGGGAATTGATGAGCCCTGTGTATGTATAAATTCAACTTACGTGAGGCATGTCTGTGCATGTCGGCACACACACATTGTGAAATCTATGTAACGCAATACATGTCTATTAATACACCACATATATATTGTGAAATCTTTGTAATATAACACGTTAAAGCATGGAAGCATACTGTAATGCATATAAATGAGAGAATAGAATTTGTTGAAGTGTATAAACTCCTGTTCCACTATGTCTTGAGAGACACAACAGCAGAGCTCCTGCAGCATATGGAATAAAAATACCTGTCTCCCATAAACAGAACACCGCTGTTGATGCCATGTAAACCATTGTCAGACTCTGTCTGTAAAGAATCCAGATTACATGTGGCACACAGATCTTCAAAGAAAATCACTTCAAAGAAAATCCCTCAGAGGCAGACAGTACTTGTAGTGCATTCATTCACAGATGGCTGTGAATGAATGATGCAGCTGTGTGGTTCCTGTGGTGGCTGTAACATGCTCTCAGAGGTGAGCTTATCCTTTAAAGAGGTATTAAAGTGATATTAAACCCAGGACTCTGCATTCACTATATCTGATCTCCCACAGTACACAGAACATGGAAATGAAATTATTTTTGTAAATATAAACTGCTAAATACCTTTTTTCATCAGCAGTTAGAGCAGTCTTATGATTTCAGCAGAGCACTGGTTAAAGCCTGTAGGAGGAGTTTTCTTTCTGCTCTAGGAGGATGTGAAAGTCCTGATCTCTGTCTGAACAGTGCTGATTGGCCCTGTACTGATCACAGGCACTCTCCCAAGAAAAAAAAAACCTCTCTAGCAATACAAACCAAACTGAGCATGTGCCTATGGATTCAGTCTGTATCAGGTGGTCATTTCAACAAGAGGAGTGGCAGAGAAGAAAAGATCAAATAGCCTTTTTACACAATGCAGAGGATTAGGCTCCACAGTGAGTATAAGAAGCATGCTTTACTGCATATACAGACTGATTTTACTGTTGTGGGTTTAGTAACACTTTAACCTCTTCCATACCGGGTACTTTAACCTCCTTCCTGCCCAGCCAATATTCAGGTTTCAGCGCTCTCACACTTTGAATGACGATTGCGCGGACATGCAACATTGTACCCAAACTAAAATTTTATCATTTTCTTCACACAACTAGAGCTTCCTTTTGGCGGTATTTAATCACCGCTGGGTTTTTTATTTTTTGCTAAATTAACAAAAAGAGAAAGAAAATTTTGAAAAAAAAAAAAAAAAAAACGTTTGTTTCTGTCATAAAAGTTTGCAAAAAAATAATTGTTGTTCATAACTTTAGGCCAAGATGTATTCTGCTACATGTCTTTGGTGAAAATAACCCAAACTAGTATTTATTATTTAGTCTGTAGGAAAGTTATAGAGTTCACAAACTATGGGATATATTTGAAAATTGATCAATTCTGAAGTACTGACAGCCAATCTAATTTCTTGAGGCCTAAAAATGTCAGAACAGTACAGATATCCCCCAAATGACCCCTTTTTGCAAAGTAGACAGTCTGACGTACTTCATAAGAGGCATGGCGAGTTTTTTGAAGTTGTAATTTTTTGTAAATTTTTCAGAAAATTGAATTAAAAAAATGATTTTCACAATTTGTTTTACATACTGTCACCAGTGCAGTACAGCGTCATCATATAACTGGCATGGCAGTGATCAGGGACACTGACTGGTGACAGTATGAAAAAAAAAAAAAAAATTATAAACTTTTTAAAAAAAAAATTTTCTTTTTTTAATTTTTTTTTTTTTGTACACAATTTGATTGTTATAGCAAAGAATTACTTTGCTATAAGCAAGCATTTACCTGAATGAAATCGATTCATTCAGGGGTTTATTTTGTGATTAGCTGTGATTGGCCCAGCTTGTGCATGTGATCGCTGTGACCATTCACAGCTAGACATACTTGTATACAATGGATGGCATGAAAGGAAGCCATCCATTGTATACAACTGTCATGTGACCTGCTGTGACTGGTCACAGCAAGTCACATGGTACTGTCAACGGGGCCGGTACACAGATCTGTCATAGGCCGTGTTCGAGGTACATGGCCGGTGACAGATCTCGCCACAGCGCGGGCATGCGCAATGCGCATTCCGGAAAGGGTGAGCGGTTTCGCCACCTAGCTATAGGCCGGGCTGCAACTAGTTAAACCCAATGGAATATAAACCAAATTGAATATATTGCAGCTTATTTCTCATTAGATGAGGTGGTTGCATTCATTTTACTTTTTTTAGGTTTTTTTCACTCTGTCCTCACCTGGTGATCTGGCCAGTAACACACCTTCTGTGTTAAGAGTGTCCTCGCTCTGGATGAAGGAGCACAGGGAGCACTGTGAACAGCATTGTCAGTCTGGGGGGAGTGATAGATTTACTAGCAGATTTAAATACACTAACAAACTAAAGTCAAACTCCAGCTAACACGTTATAAGGGATTGCAGCAAACAGATGTGTTTTCTTTTGGACTTAGTACCACTA